TCCATTCCATCGAATTTTATGCCGCAAGATAGCAAAGTACTCGTTTGAACGGGTAAACGATTTTCAAGTACGAGATAGAAATGGTTGAATTCCCTACAACGGTATGAATCTTCTTCTAACTACAGCTTTGCACAGAGAACCACTGATGATTATTCACCTCCCTGTCATCATTATTTATTAATATATTATATTCAAACCTGCTCCATGTGTCTGTGACAAATCAATCAATACTACTGATCATGACCCAGCAAGTACCAACGTAATAACAGGTAATTGCGACTATGATGATAGAAATTATGTATATATTTCCTGGGTATAGGCATGAGATGTGGCTATACCGATTCATTCATTCGCCCGTTTGGTCATTTCTTCTTTCATTTATTCAATCCATTCAGTCAGTTGCTCATGAAGATCTTCTCAATGCTGTTCCCGGCTGACAATATTATTGCTGTTTTCTCCATCTCTGCTTCGAGGCACAGACGTTTCGTCCGACTCGCGTATATCACAATATATCAAATTTACAACAAGCCTTTATTGCGGTTAAATCATTTCGTATCGGCAACGCATATCAACAAATATACTATACCGAGGAATTACATAATCGGTTAGGTCGAAGTCGTCGGACTGCGGGGCTTATTTTCGGACGCTCAGCACCGTGGTCCATAACGTGGACTTTTGATTGAGTACCTTGCTCAGTTTACGGAATCCGCTCATTCGGTCGCTGAGGTATGCTATGCCGAGCGCCAGCAACATCACGGGAATGTGGATAAAAGTAATCATGCTGGCACCGGTCCACAGACCGATTTCCCCTCCCAGATCAGCTATGAAATTGTCGACCTCCATTGCCCATTCTTGGGACACGGATGTGTAGGTGAGGTCACTGTACGCGATCTGAAGGTAGACCAGGCTTTCGAAACTAACGTTTACTTTGTGGAGGAAATCAAAGCTGGGTCTATGCAACTTCATGCTGGTTGCTTGCACGATGAATTTCCAGCGGTCACAAGGGAGGTGACAGCGCTCGGTGCACTGCTGCAGATCTTGGTTGTCATCTGAGTCTGTCACTTTAGGCCGAATGCAACCTTCCACGTCCTTGCTTGTACAGAAGCGTGTGCTAGCCAACACTTCCTTTTTTAGAAATCGTGGGTCTTGCGCCAACACACAATCACAGTGCTTCACGATAGCATGCAAGAAGCAGTCCGTGCGACAAGCTGTGACCGAATAAGAATGGTTCAGGACTTTGAGATCTACGTCAGCTTCCTCCATGCATGGCTGGACCTTTGGGCCTGATGGAACATTCAGGTACTGGTGATGTTCCTTGGACAGCGATAGACGGGTGTACAAGGATGGTTGGATATTGAGGAAATCAAAGTTGTACAAGTTATAATCATTATCGATCATAATTAGAACGCCTTCAGTCTTGGGCCTCACCTTCTTTTCAGTAGGATAGTTTTCGAGTTGTGCATTAAGGAGCAAAAGCAGGCCTTGCCCAGGAAATCGCTGCTTCCTTTCACCAACGTCTACCACAAAGCATTTGCCCCAATTTGGATTAAACACTTCCTTTATAATGCTTCTGCACGGAATCGAATCGAATTTGTCTTCTCTGAACAAGCAACGTACAAAGATGTCTTCGATCGTGAAACTGACGTTCATGAGCAATTCGTACATCTCGGTATAATTGTTCGTGTTGAAATGAATTTCCTCTGTCTGACTGTGACGTCTGACGCGCTCTGATTTGCGATCGACCGGCTGTGCATCGAAATCCTCTGGGCCATCTTCAAACATGGCCGCCGTCTCCTGCGGATCCAAAACAGCAGCACGTGCCATTCGACCGGAACCACGCAGTTTCTGAGTCTGAGTCTGAGTCATAACAACGCTCTGCCGCATCACCGACACGACTTCGACCAACCACGGGCGTTCTTCCAAGTGCTTACGGTGGAATGACACCGGCAGACACACCTGGACCTTTGGGAAATCCATCTTGTCCGTTACGGTCACTTTGTATTCGGTCACAATCGGACAGTTGTAGAAATTCACCACCAGTTTGTAAGCGCCGAAAATCGTTGCCAGCACCGCCAGCACTATCAACGATATCCAGAATGCCTTGCCGTAAGCCGTATTTGATCTGGCGTACTCGCTAAGGCCCGAAAGACTGACAACCCTGAAGCTGCGGTCCAGTCGGTCCAACGGCTTGGCCGGCTTTGTTTGAGGACCGGTGCTGATCAGGCAACTGTTGCTGGAGGTGGTCAGTCGACGCATGGCCACCAGCTCAGCGTCGTCCATCTGACTCAGCCTTTGTTCCTCCGGCGGCGGTCTTCTTACGACGTTGTCCATCTCCACTTTGTCAACGGTGTCAGCCAAGGTTGCGCCTGCTTCCACAGATGCCATCGCAAAATCGCTGCAAGCAACGTTATGCAGCCAGCGTTTTATCCTCTGAGTCAACTTTTTACATCGGCCTCTGGTCTTTGTCTCATTTTCTACTTGTAGTCGTCAGTCCGGCCCGAGGGGACTGATCGAGCCCACTGAAGTGGCTGGGCGGCTATCGAAGGCAAAGCCACTTGACTCCGGGTGACTGCCAAGCATTTTCTTGAACCAGTTGGCGCCGATGCCCCAAGCAACAAATTTTTGTCTACAAAACAGCGACTATCGCGTGACTGTCTTCGTTTATCTTGCCAATTTGTTGGACAGCCATCACCACCAAATCATGTCTCATCTCGTTTCCGATCTCGCGACACCTGAAACAAAAACTCCACCCTACCATTGTGACTAGATGGCAGTCAGCTCAAGCAATCCGGTCTCTGACTTGCGCTTTTAATGAAATCGACATATGGATATCGATATATTGTCTAAATAGCCAATTAGACATTGTCCCTTGCGTCATTGATGGATGTAGCCGATCGTATTTATCGTGTTGGCCATTCTTGACCTCAATCGGTACTATAATTAGTAACCGAAAGTCATATCAACAAAATATTACTGTCATGGAGGTAAGCCTCCATCTGTGGCTCATTAACCTTAAATTGTTCAAGGTAAATTTTACAGTCTGACTGAGGCTGCAAAAGGTCAAAAATATGATTTTTTTATAGATCAATGCGCCCAATCTGAAGGGAGAATATAAGTTCCCTTCTGGAAGAAACTTAAGGTGCTCTGTATGAAGTGCCGACTATGGAACCCATCATTCTAATGAACAATTTCAATGCGCATGTCGGAACAGACACTTTAACGTAAAAGGACAATAATGTAAAGAATGGCCCTAGCGACCTCAACCGTAACGGCATGAAGTTGTTGCGGTTTTGTGAAGACAACGGATTGTCCATTATGAACACCTTCTTCGAGCATCGAAAAGTGTTTCAGTATACCTGGTACCGGGAAGCTTGTGCACAGAAGTCGATGACCGATTTGTTAATCGTATTGTCTGACCTACGACGTTTTGTTATGGATGATTGCGTTCAGTGAGGCGCAGAGCTTAGAAACGATCATCACCTTGACACGCTACCTTATGTTGGCACTCTCTGCTGTGACTGGTGGAGTTCCACGCGAAGACCTAGTGACAGAAGCGACCAGAGAATCAACTGGGAAACATCATACGCAGATACGAGAGCAAAATTTGTGAACATCATTGCACGACAGTTTGAATAGCTCCCGATGATGACCACTGATGTAGAAATTAAGTGGTAACTCTTTAAGAATGGCTTACTCTGGGCTACTGCCAAATGCTGCGGTTCCAAATGGATTGGTCTGCTGCCTAGAGGTCAGAAAAGAAGCTCCTGAGTACAGAAAGGGTACAACTGGAAGTTAAGGAGAAGAAGGCTGCTTTCAGGAAATGGCTTCAAAACAAAGGGCCTTCAACTTGAATTCAGTACGAAGAAGGGTGTAAGGCGAATTCACCAGCCTGCCAGATTGATATCTGGTTCTTGAAAGAAGTTCGACGAGGTGTTGGAGTCGAATTTTCAGACGGAAAACAAAGTGTTCTGGCAGACCATCAGCCGGCTCCTAGGTGAAAAGAAGGGTAGTTTAAGAGTCTTGACGGCCAGGTCTGGACACCTTCTTACCGAGGATATGAACATCAGCGATGGAGAGAATACTTTGACGAATTTTTTAATCCTGAGCAACCACAGTAAGACTAGCCTGTAAAGCAGCAGAGAATGCATGTTACCATTTTTGTAGATGAAATCATATAGGCTGTGAAGAGCAATAGAAGTAGAAAGGCTACTGGAATTGGTAAAATTGGCTTTGAAATGCCCAAGCAATTGACGAACAAGGCAAGTTCTGGCTTACACGTCTCAATCAAACTGCAGTAGCTACGGGGAAGTCACCAGCGGCTTGGAGAGCGGGCAGAGGGACAGTTGTACCACTTTTCAAAGAGGAAGGCCAGACCGAATGCTTCAACTGTTGAGGCATTACTTTGTTGAACTTCCAGGATAAACTCTGAGTAGAGGAGGTGTCGTCTCGCGAAATGACTGACCTCAAAATACAAGAAGACCAGTGTGGCTTCCGGCCTCGTCGAAGCACGTCTGACCATATATTTGCCCTGCGCCAGATTGTTGAGAAATCGTGGGAGTACGCCCAGCC